AAACGGGGAGGGGAAATTAACAGATGTGCAGGATGCGGGTGGGGAAAGCAAGGAGGGAAGGGAGGAGAGGGTTGGACGAATGCCATCTCTCTCTCCCTCTCTCTCTCTCTCTCTCACACACACACACACACACCTGTCGGCGGGTACGGAATTGGGCCATCCGGGTGGGGGGCAGAAGGGGCGGGGATGGCTGAGAGCGCGGAAGGCCATAGAGTCGCGTTCGCACGCTTTCTCCCACCTCCCGCTTTCTCTCATCCTCCAACGCCTTCTCCTTGCACTCTTCCCCCCCCCCCCCCGCCCCCTCCCCATCGCCGCAAGTCGCTGCGGCGGGTCCACTTGTTGATTTTACAACCACTACACAGCCCCGGGCAACTTAGAAAATGACGAAAGGCTGTCTCCAAAATAATTCGATCCAAAATATTTGGAGCTCAGGGTGTACTGGTGGTTCAGGAGTCAAGTGTTCCAAGGATTGGATGGATGTTGTTCTAAAGGTTGCGTCCAGCCGAAGACAAGGTAGAGAGAGTCATAGACTACGACCAACTTGCAGCGTGGCATGGCAGCATGCCCGTGATCGGCTTCCCAAAGACAGCGTGGCTTTCCCTGAGATGTCCTTCGCTGCGTGCAACATGCAGGGTGACGAGTGACAATCTCCCCGTCTTCTGGAACACGACTCGTTGAAAAACAGCACACCCACGAGCATTCACAGTTGGTGACGGAAGGGGTGCAGGACTAACCAGTCTCCATCATATAACGATATTCGGCAGAGCCGTCGTAGACCAAACCTCCACTACACTCTGGCGACTCTGGCGAGTGATACAGATATTGTATATAGCGGATTGACTGGTGTCTCTACGGTCGTCATGTGATCCTGCACTTGCAAAACAGGACCACGTCCAATGAATCAAGCATAGGCAGTAAGAAGGAGATACTCTGTGGTTGGTATTTGAGCACGCAGTTTCGTAGTCTCTTCTTCCAAACAGAGGTCCTGACCTCCTCTCATGCATAGACATACCAAAAACGTGCAAGCCTGCAACCCACGTACCTTCTCCAAGAAGCACACAGTTTTCGATCTCACCTTCCAAAAAGCAGACATCGTTTGCTTTCACAGTCCGGTACAACACAATGGTGCAAGCCCATTATGTTCCCCCAAGAATGGGCTGTGTGAAGTCGGCCAGCTCAGAAACAATTTCGAGGATGGTAGTTCTTTCTTGCCTGTACTTGGTTTTCTGTTCTCTTTTTCTTGCACGGCAATTCCTTCCTTGACAGACCTGCTCAAATTCAATTTCCTCCCTTCTTCCAAAGGCTACATAGACATCACATTTGTTCTGACCTATGTATTTTACCCTTTACAGTCGCCAAACACAACTGCAGAAGGCATTGAATAACCGCACTACTGATGAAAGGAATACAATAACCGCACTACTGATGAAAGGAATACAATAACCGCACTACTGATGAAAGGAATACAATAACCGCACTACTGATGAAAGGAATACAATAGGTCCGTTGCCTAAGAGAGGACCATTGCGAAGTCCACAAGAACAGAATACGAAATTAACTCCATACATCTTTGCTCTTCCAATTTGCCAGCGTACGCATTGCTCTTGGCGAGGGCCCAGATCTTTCCCAGGCTACTGAAAGATCTCATGGCAATAATTATTACATGATTCAACCACAAACACCTCCCAAGGCTTTCTTCTCCGGAGCGCAATCTTCCTGCCATGTTATTCTCGGGTGAGCACTTACAGGAGCCTCCTCTCTCTCTCTCTCTCTCTTGCACGCATGCTACCCCTTCACTGCTCAGGCCCCCCCCCCCAGGCTTTCTTCTCCAGTGCGCAAACTTCCTGCCATGTTAACCTTGGGTGAGCACTCACAGGAGCTCTCTCTCTCACTCTCTCTTACTGCTCAGAGTTCCCTCAGCTCACGCCGTTGCATATATACACTGGGTCCATCACCATGCTATCCTCTTATTCATATTCAAGGGCAGGTAGGAAGCGATACCCAATCCTGTTCAGCATTAATTCTTCAACAACTGAGTCGTGCTTTACAAATTCCTGGTGTGGGAGGGATGGATACTATCCGCAGCCATTACCCCTCAGCCAAAGTTTCGCAATCAAACGTCTCATATGAGAAAGAAGAGCCGAAAGCTGAAAAACAGCTTGAAGCGCCATACACGGTGTTTTCACATTACTACCTGCGGTCACCGAATTCCTGCTAGTCTCTGCAAACATTACCAACACCCTTCCAAAAGACATTAAACCAGTGCACTACGAAGAGTCCAGAAGACGGACTTTGACATGCCACTTTGACGACAGTACCAAACATACTGACAGCCACTTGAACACCACATTAGGCGTACACAATGCACAGTGCACACCTAGAACATATTAGACCAAGGGCGGTGCACAGGACACAGACTGAAACAAACACTACCTTTCCCAGGCAAGGTCGAGAATAACAAAAGTAACATATTAGGGCATATTAGACCAAGGGCGGGCGGTACCAAGGCTCGGGGCTACCGGACCTCGATAACTGGCAGCGCAGGCCAACAGATAAAAAGAAAACAGCGCGCTGTCGCTTCGGCAAGGCTTGGCATGAAAGCGGGATCCGCCTCGGCGAAAAGAGGCTAGGAGGTAGTGGGGTTGTTTCAAACAGCACAGGGTTCCCGGCAAAGCCGGCAAGAAAGGGGAAAAACAAAAGCCAAACAGCAAGTTGCCCACAAGTGTAACCACAACCTCGGGAACTGGAATTATCACGGCGAGAAAAGGAGGAAACATTCTACTCGTACAGAGAAACAATAACATTGGCATAGCCTGACAGATATCTGACGCAAGTCCACTAAACAACGAACGAATCATTTACCACTAGCCATGCGTTGACAATTACCCTACATCTACTGACCGCCACTAAGTCGCGAGCATGATGCTTCTTGGGTGCCAATGCTATTCACGCTGCAGAATGAAATAGCAATCTGCCTGAAGACATCAATCGATGAACGTGTTTCAAATGCAAAACGGTAGGCACACCACAATCAGCAGCAAGGACATTCACCAAACGAGACAGCTCCGGCTGCGCAACAGCAAACGCCAATCTTTTCCATAAACAAGGAAAGGCAACCACGCATGGGAGCCGCATCTCGAGGTATGTATTACAGAACTGAAACGAACGAAATTAACCCTCCGTCTCATTTGCTTGCCCACCTTCTAAGACTCGACTGTGACATTGACATGTGACATTGACATCCAACTTGAGAGAAAAACGATGCTACTGCCTCACAACATGTGACGCGAAGGGAACGCACTGAGCACTGGGCGAAGCGAGGCTTGGGGACAGAGGGGGGGAAATGAAGCTGAAAACAAGACACCACTCACTGTGCAGAGGGACAAAGCAAAGCATCAGTCAAAACTTTTTTGTGCCAAATAGTGCAACCAGAAGGTAGGGGTACAGAGCGATCGATGCTCTTGCTCCGCAACGCTCACTCCTCCACCTCCCAGTCAAGTGGTACAGTTGCCGCTGAAATTCTCTCTCTACCATGCTCTCAAAATATACAGGCAAGTCAAGAAAACCTGCAACACCAGACACTCCTAGGACCAGCATTATAGACCGTGCGATGGGGGGTTCAAGGTTGCATACCAGCCTGCAGAACGAAAAAGAGGGCGATGTGCCATACCCGTGTGAAGCTGCTAGCCCCAAAGGGCCCGCAGCATCTTTCGCTCCCATTTCAACCTTTTAATGCCGCCCCGTTTACAAGCTCCAACCTCGACATTGATTACGACATCTCCTCCTCCTCGCTCTCCTCCGCGTCACTATCATCCTCCTCTTCATCCGCTGCAATGTCTGCCACACTTACTGCAGGTCTGGCACTTGATCCTGCATTTTGCCGATGCCGCATTTCCTCAATTTGCGCAAGGAGTTCATTATCACATTTAACACTGTTGCGAGTCAACTTGCGTGGGCAGCCAGAGGAAGGGCAGGGACACGACCTTTGCCTAACGGTCTTCAGGTGGTTCTCCACACCCTCGAGAGAATAGACATGATGACATTCGACATGCCAAACTGGGTCCTCCAGGTCCGTCACCAATCGGCCAGTCAGCGGACAGGAGTGATTCACGAGATTAAACTGGGAATTGGTTATGATAACATCTTCATCATCCCCGTGTCCGCCGACAGGGATGCCCGCATGATGAACATTCCACACAGCTTCCTCAAACTTCTTGTACCAAGAGTTGTCCTTTGGGTTTTCTGGTCGTGTGTCGCTGAAATGCTTCTCTTGAACCTGCAATATGTGTGCAAAGTCTGTTGGCTCCCCCTCGTATTTATATTCCTGACGCACTGTTTCCAACGCGTCGATATGGTGCTTCAACTCATTCATGCATTTCACTACATCTAGCACGCCTTCCTCCAGTTGCTGCACCTTCTCCGACTCATTCTCCCTTTCACATTCTTCAGCTATCCACTTCAGCATCATTGTACTCATCTCCAGATCCTTCAGATACTCATTTTCCTTGGCCTGGACAGCAGCCACGGCAGCCCGTACTTTGTCTTCCATAACTGCCGTTAGGGTGGGAAAACCCCACAACAAGCTGGTTTCCAAAACAGCCTTCACCCAAACGGCAGAGAACTTGAACCAGATTTTCACCGATGCCAGTTACCTTGCACGTGTCAGGCCATTCCTGCTGGACAAGACAACAGATAGATAGTGAAAAGCGTTAAACATCAGATTCAAAAACGAACTCAAATAGGATTCTAAGGGCCAGATCCCACTAGCCCCTATTATTCATTTCGGACCGTTGATCTTCGTAATCAAGGGTCAAAACTGAACAATACGGGCTAGTGGGATCTGGCCCTAAGGGAAGGGACAATCACACAACAGCCACTGGCAGACATCCCTGGAGGGGGTGTTGATCAGCACATCAGAAGAAACATTCCCAAAGTGTATTGGCAGTGAGACGTCGAAGAACAAGATCAAGTGCAGATTGTCAACCAAATAAACAAAAAAAGTTCAAAAAAAAAACAAATTAGTTTTTGCTTTCAATACAAGCTCCAGGACCACTTTTAGGAAATCTCTCCTTTCGAGAGGATCTACCGGTTTCAAAAACACACATGTTGTACGTCCACTTTTCCCCAACCTAAAGTCTACTTGCATTCATGTCAAACTCGATGTGACCATGGCTTCAATCGAAAACTCAACCAAGAAAGATGAGGCAGCAAGGAGCAGCTTTGCATCTCAGGGCCACACCAACATCCATTTCCAGACAAACA